TGAAATGAAGAATCCAATGATGAAAGCATAAAGGGAAAATACCAGGTGGAGGAAGAGCAAGCGGCATTGAGATAGGTGGGAGAGTCTGTACAGTCTCAGCTTGTTGTAAATCGAAACGCTTGATTAGAGAAGGAAATACATAGACATAAAAAGAGACAAGTAAAAAAGAAGAAATATACCTCGTGGATCGGTATTGAAGGTCGAAGCTGAGTTTCGACAGCTTGTCGATATGGTCGCCGATGGATTATCCTAAAAATTTTATCGAAAATGTGAGTCATGATACAAGTCTTATCAAAATCTAAGACATAGAAATGAGAGAAAAAGGAAACTCACGTGACTAGAATGAGTGACGGGTGTTGTTTGACCCGTGGAGGAATCGGTGTTAGAATCCATCGATAATGGATCTGCTGTGGATGGTTGGACAGGTCGTGGACTCTTCGATTTTTTCTGTAGGGTAGAAATCGAAAAGAGATATGAGAATCCATAAGGAAACATGTTATAAACAGAAAAATGAATGAGACAAAAAGAGATCAAAAAAGTACCTTTGATTTTTTCGAAGACGAAGTGGTGATGGTGGCCGATTGTTTTCGCTTTCTGGTGAAGGCCAGAGGGTCCGACTCATCTGGGGACTCCCAGCTTGCGTCCTTTCCTTCCTCTTGTGCCTTCTCGAAGGCGACCACCTTAGTAGATTTTGAAACTGTCGAGGAATGAAGATAGTCAGTTTCCAAAACACAGAATTGAAAATTGAGAGAAAACAATAAAACCTCACCAAAAAGTGATGGAGTCAAAATTTTGACTCGATCAATATGTACTAGCCAAGGAGGCAGGAGAGCTTCAGGGAGGTTAAGGTAAGGAAAGTAAAACAATTTCGATACAGAAATGTCTTTGTTTTTGGGTTTTGGGCGACGTGTTTCTTTAAGGGTTCTCAATTCTCGAACCCATTTGGGATGAGTTAAAGGTTTTGCGAGTCCAAAGGGTGTTGTAGGAAAAGTGGGAAGTCGAGCGGGACAATACATTTCAAAAGGGGTTTTTCCTAAGGGATTAATTATTTTGTGGTTCGATCTATTGGTATCTGTTTTTCGGGATAAAGAAATGACAGCATCATAAAAGGTCGATTCTAGTTTTAGTGGAGTATAACATATTTGATAAAAATTCTCGAATCGAGATATTTGGAGACAGTGGAAGTGTGTACCTTTCTTCCCTTTCGACTTGTCCTGCAACACAAGAGAAGGACGAGCGATCGGTTCGTCGAACCTCGTCAAAAACGAAGACGATTACTCGAAAACCAATTGGTCCACCATTGAGAAAATTCCACGATCGATAAGTAATTCGATTCAAATACATATGGATAAAGATGCATCGAGGTTCTTGGCAAAAATTTGGCAAGCTCTCTACGATGTTCGACTCGATCAATTTGGATTTGGGGAAGGTATTTAAAGGGAAAAAGGGTAAAGACCGACTCAGTGCCAAATTGTCTTGAAAAAAGTTGAGGGTAGTAAGTAGTAAACTTGAAATCCTTGGGGTGAAAGCCCGATACTAATATATCCTGGGTTAAGTAGTTACTCCATATATCGACCAATTCTAATTGCAACCCAGGAGTGGAAGCAGGAAACTTTGACTTAAACCAAATAGGCCCCCTAAGTTGGCCACTTGTTCGTCCAAGATTTACAGTAAAAGGAGCCAAGGTTGAATCGAAATCGAATCTAGTTAACAAAAAGTGAAGGTAGTTACAATAGGTAGTTTTGTCAGACTTATGGCGAGGATGGCGAGAGGATAATCGGGCCCCTTCTATATTTACACTCGGGGGAACAGTGGAAAATCGAGGAAGGACGCTCTCAAAAATGGAAGTTAACCATAACTGCATAAACCAAACGGGGCGTAAAAATTCCCCGATGCCTTAGAAGTACTCAAAATTTCGACGACCTCGTCGAAAGCAGGATATACTTGCGCTAACAAAAATTTGGCCAAACATAGGCTAGGATGACCTAAGTGAAGGAGATACGCAAGGTTGAATAGATGGGGGAAATTTGGATCGATCGGGGCAAAACACATGGGTGCACAACCAATACACCAAAAATGCTACATGTTCTTCATCGAGAATAACTATCGAGGGGTCATCAACAAAATGTTTCTCAATAAAATGCCCGTAGGCCTTCGATTCCCAATCAATTTTGGACTTCAATGAATTATCCGAGGGATATGCACCTCGAAAGTATCTCTCCCCTATAGGTTTTAACCCAATGATGGTCGCGACATCGAAAAGAGTAGGTGAGAGAGGGCCGCAAGGTAATTCCAACGCATGTATTTCCTTATTCCACAAATGCACTGAGACCAAAAACATAGTCATATCTAAGTAGGACAGGTCACATTGAGACAAGTGTAAAAAATCGAAAATCCCCACGTTCTTCCAATGGTCACCGAATTTAGCCTTGACCCTATCAAACCATTTAGTGAACAAAGGTTTTTTGGAGGGAGGGCTCTGTCCGATACACCTTAGAAACAAGGTTCGAAAATCTACCCTAACTTCAGCCGATGTACAAGAGCAGGGTCATGCTTGAGAGGGCGAGGGAGAAACAGCTTCCGCTACCGTAAAGAATGGGGCCCCCAAAAGCAAAACCAACCCCCTCAACAGTATAAGGAACTAATACCTGTGTTTCAGCAATCCTTTTAGAAGCTTCCTCCATCAAAGGCAGGGGAGCAAACCGCTGGTTGTTAATCTCCAGCAAGGTAGCAGCGGATGAGGCAAGAGGGGGAGTCGAGAAATCAGATGACTTGGATGAAGTGGCCATTGGAGTAAGCTTAGGAAAACAGAAAGGGAAGAGTTAACCGATGAGGTAACAGGGACGAAGGCAGGAACTCAAGGAAGAAGATAAGATTGCACAGAAGGTAATGGTTCGCGTAAAAACCAGAGTGAAGACTAAGAGAGAGGTTAAGAGGAAAATCGTCTAGGGAGTTGGAAACGACGGAAGGGAAAGGTAATTAATGTAACTTGTACTGAAAGGCAACAGACTGACGAGAAGGCGACGTAAAGTGGAAAAGAAACCTAAAACCATTTTTAACCCTAGAACCCCAGAAACCCTAAACCCTAAATCATGTGGGCTTTCAAACACTAAGTGGGAATATTGAAAGAATATAAAACGTAAATCATTTATATTCTTCCAAGGGGGCATTTTGTTAGTGGCAAATCGAGAAAAGCGATCGAAATCGAAGGGAAGAAATATGACTCGATAAGATAAACAAAAGTTCATCCGATGTCTAATTAGAAATACATAGCATATAGCATCGAGAAACACAATCGAGAATCGAATGAATTATTATCAAATGACTGTTGTCGAATAAAAACTAAGTCATATAAGATCAGGGTTAAAAAGGAATCGTGAGCAATTCGAAGTTCTCGAAAAATACAGAATCGAGAGTAAAGAAAGCCAATGTGGACATCGAGACTTTGGCCAAATTGTGAAGGGAAGTAAGTCGAATGCACGTATAGAGAGCAGTTTTAAAATCATGGGAAAAAGTCGGAGATCGTGAGAACGTGGGAAATTATAAAAGATAAACTGTCATACGCACGTAGAACGTGGTAGCAGTCGCGTTAACTGCTCTCGGAAGGCTTGAAGGATGCCCTATAAATAGAGCAAAGGAGAAAGGAACAGGGGGAGCAGAAATTGGCAGAGAACAGGATCAGTAGTGAAAAGTCTACCGGAGAAACGACGAACACCATGAAGCTCCTGACAATCTGGATTTCCTTGCTCACTGAGTACATTTACCGCTTTCTGTATTTTCCTTGGTAATTTATTTTGATGCAACTTAAATTCAGCAATTTTATGTTTCTGTATTTTCAATTCCTTGTCCATTTCAATTCAATGAAAATTTGAGTTTCTACATTTAGATTTCCTGTTATTTAACATCCTGCAAATCTCAATTTCCTGTCATTTACTTTTCTTGCAATTTCGATTTCTTGTCATTTATATTTGCGTTGTTTTCGATTTCTTGCTATTTACAATTAATGCAAGTTTGGGGTTTTCGCACTTTACGTTTCCTCGCAATTTAACATTCTGCTTTTTCGATTCGATAGTCTTAATGCTTTTGAGACCTTAAATACAAAACATCAAAAACAGCATTTCGATATCCTATGATCTTCTATTCTCATACATGTTTTCGATTGAAAATCAAATTGCTAGCCTAAGCAAAAAGAGCTTACGTGGGAGGATCTCGATTAAAGACCAAAATACCCTTAGAATCGAAATCGATCGAAATCCCACCAGAAACAAAACGACACCATTAATAATCAGAATTCATTCCTCGAATTTAATGACTTAGCATTTCACTATAAAGTTAAATAGATGGTCCCTTAAAACCAAGAACACAAAGATTGTGAGATCTAAATGTAAGGGTTTAGAACATCGTTAGCAAGATGCAGTTTGAAGGATAGAATATCTGTAAATAGTTCAAGAAAATAAATATATTCTCAACTTATTTTTTAATGCTCCGAATAGCATCTCAAAATTACCTTAAACTTTTGTTAGAACGAGAGCTAATTGACTTGCACAAAAATTAATGACAAAAACTAACACATACAAAACCTATACATAGTGACATGGACTTTGAGTAACTGATGCATTAATGAATAATGTATCTCCAAGCATTAACAGTCAATTGGAATCAGAAAGATGTTGTTTTAAGATAGTTGAATTTTTTCTTCCAAAAAAAAGTCATTATTTTTGGTACAAAAAACATTATTTTGATTTAACTGTGTTTTTTTTTTTTCTGAAGAACAAAAGGATGTTTACATGATATAACAATGCCATATATCTCGTTCTTAATTTTTCCGTCCTGCTAAAAGCAAGTTCATTTAATACCTCAGCAGAATGGTAATACAACAAGCATAGAAGCCAAATACATATATAACCATTTCCATTGTCTTTCATTTTGCTCACTCGAATACTAGGGGGTACATTTTTATTTTCAAAAGGCTAACTCTGCTACTGCTTCAAAGTTCCGAATTACATGTTGACAACTTCATCCATAACTGTCAATAGAAAATGTTTCAGTTTTCTTCTTCTCCTATTGCTTCCCCTGCATGCAATACGCTTAATTTAGGATTCTCCAAATACGCTATACTTTAGAAAACCAGTATGCATGGCTAGTAAATGTGAACCTATTTAATAAGAGTAGTCCCCCACTTATGTACTCTTTCCAGAAATCTCTAGTCTTTGTAAAACTGTGTTGTATGTATTGAATATCTTCTGATTCTTGTCAACCAAAATGTATTACTCCAAGTTTTGAACTTCTGGGGTTCACTTAAGCAAGTTTCTTTGTACCCTTCCCAACATGTACGAGCAAGAAAATATCACACAAACCAACCCTCAAATTACTATCCGACTGTAGGCCATAACGATTTTATACTTCTACCATTATCATATTTTAATTAAATGCATGTGGCAGAGATTGTCTATAATTTGTGTCTCGCCATTTGTGTAAATGCAATGACAAATTTCAATCTTTTCTCAATACAACATTAACAAAAATCATACATTGTCCTTGTCATCTGATAGCTTTGACAGAAAAAGGTGGAGTAAACCTACCAATACTGGTTACGCAATACGAAAGAGTCTGTTGGTACTTTCTTGCCATCATCATTGCGGTTCCAGTGGTAGATAGCATGAGTCCTATTTTTTATCTCCAAGGTGGAGTGTCCATAGCTTGCTTCTCGAAATGCAGAATATTCTGGCTGTGGATCCAAAAACCTGCACGACCAAGGATAGAATTAAAACTTCCATGACAAGACATCCTTGACAAACGGTAACTACAGATCTTAACTTCTAACGAAAATTGAATCTTATTCATAAAGTATTAAATCAAAACCCATGATAACAATAGTAAAAATAGGATATTAGATATGGTTTGTTCAATTTACTTTGCAGCAAGTCCTTCTTGATTTCCACCATCTCCGACTGTTATATAAACAGGTGCTGATTTGTCAGGTATGGGATACCGGTTACCGCCTGTTATGTTGTAGTCCACATTGGAGATTCGATACTGAAAGCATGATAGAAAATTAAAAACATAAGAATCAACTGTGACATTATATGACTGAAAATATATAGCTCAAGTTATTATAGACACCGAGGAAACACACAAGAGTCTGTGTAGGGAGAGGATCAAACTAAATGAGTAGAAAGTGAAAAACATACTGATCTTTCATAAGCATGGACATGTCCAGCAAAGATCACGTCGACTTTGTATTGGATGAGCCAGCTCTCAAACACTGATCGCATGCTTTCACCCTCCATATAGTGAGCTCCATTACTGTTGTAGAGTGGCACGTGCATGAGCACAATGAGCCAAGGAGTCTTCTCCCTATCAACCCGCTTCAGCTCTTCTTGAAGCCACATGTATTGAGGCGTGTATTTTACTGTAATGAAAGATCACATTCACAAAAAGTACCATAAAAGAAAGCATAGAAATTTTCAAAAGACCAAACACACGGCAATATGTGGCAGTTGACAAGAGCACATAATAGCAGTGCCTTTTCAACCGGAATTATACAGCCGTAAGAATAATGCCTAACATACATCAGAATGCTGCTCTCCACCATTCCTAACAAGCTAGCACCTGAGTCCTAATGCAGAGAAGTCAAAGCCTTTTCTCTTTTTTTTCCTTATGCATTTCGGCAAAATCAAACGTTAGGTTGCTTATATTGGTATCCTATTCCAACTGGACAATTTTTGCTTGTCTTTGGGATATTATTTTCCTTCATTTCTGTTTCATTATCAGCAAAGTATATATAAATATATATCAACATTACAAAAATATCAATTGAGAATTAAGATTTATATAATTCACTTTATAAAAAAAAAACAAAATTGTTGTTACAGTTTCCTTATACTAGCAGCCCTCATAATAGACTTCTTAGAAAATATATCTTAATAGTTAAAATAACTAGTAATGTATAATGAAAACAAACCTAAAGAAAACGTTATGAACCTTGAATTATTTATAACGTAAGTTGTTTTCTTTTCATCACTCTTTACTTTTTTATGACTAGGAAGTGTCTATCCAAGAATAGTTGCAGCTTACTTTCTTTACTTATGCTCAAAACATGTCGAGCAGGTATCTAATATGTGTTTAAGAGGTGTCTATGTTGGAAAAAAAAAAACAATTTTTAATAGTGACCTTCATGGAGACCTGAAAGAGGAAGTCTACAAGGAGATTTCTCCCATATCTGATTCCCATGGTGTAAAGAACAAGGTCTGTTGGCTCAAGGACATTTTGTATGGTTTCAAACAGTCTCTCCAGGCATGATTTGGAAGATAAGTCAAATGGCAAATTCACTCTTCTCGTCGTCCATGTAGACTATGTGAGCATTGCAAGTAATGATCAGATTGAAAAATATGATATGAAAAAGAAGCTGGCAACTTAGTTTGAAATGGAGTTGGGAAAGCCAATTGGATATGTTTGATATCCATTAATCAACTTGAGGTAATATTGTAAATACGATTGAGATTTACAACAGAAAAATTATCTTCCAATTTCTTTTGTAGTTTATCTTTCATAATTTTTAGTTTATATTGGTTTTTCCTTGAGATAAAATGTAAAAAAAAAAAAAAAAAAAGCTATTTATCTATTACTCTCGTACATTAAACAGGAATGATAATTAAACTTGTATCCACTCCAAACTTGATAAGAAAAAATCAAGTTGATCAGGGACATGAATGGGTTTGATTTATCCCGGGATGAGGATGAGTAATGTAATCCCCATCTCGGCCTTGTCCATGTCCCGACTTTATATTTAAATTTAAATATTAATAATTTTTAAACATTTCATTTTCTTTCTCCCATTATATATAAGATCATTTTCTATATTTCACCTTTTTATTTTTCTTCCACCCACTTTTCGCTCTTTTGTCTTTTTCAATCTCTTAGATAAGTTTATTACATTATTCTCTTTCTCTTATTTTTTGCTTCTTCACATTTCCTTAATCTCTTCAATCAAATTTATTTTTCCAATCTCTTCAACCAATTTGATAAACACAAAGCTAATTTTTCTTCTTCTTTATCTTTTTTTAAATATTCTACATCAATCTTAGTATTAACTAATATTATTTTATTTCTAATTTATCTTTATTAGGTTTTATTTTGTTATATTTTTTGGATTTTATTATTCCTATTTGTTATATATCAAATTTTATCTTAATAAAATAATTGTATTTTGAAGATTAAAAAGAATTAATAATTAGAACTTCTATTACTTTGAACTATTTAAATAAAAATTAACTTATTGAATATTTTCTTATAAATTATATGTTTCATATTTATAAATATTTTAAAATGACAACTTAAAAAACAATTAACATACCTATGGAATCAAATATTTGAATATAATATTAGAATATATAATAATAACAGTAATAATAATAACAATAATAATGTTATAAGTAGTTTATATCCGTGTAAAAAAATTATTAAACATTTCTTTTACATACATATTTTAGTATAAATATAATAAAATAAAGTATATGTTTAATTAATAATAATAATAATAATAATAATTACAAATTATTAAACTACAAATATTTATTTTTTATAAAAACTACATAAAAAAATTTAAAATTAATTTATTATAAGTATAATTATTTTTTAGAAATAATATAAAACAAAGACGAATTAGAACAAGAAAACCCAAAATTTAATCGGAACGGGACAAAGACGATAAAAAAAGTCCAAAGCAAAGACGATTAAAAAGAGTCAGGACGGGGCAAGGGAGACAAAACTCACCCTGTCCCATTGCCATGCCTAACATTAAAGATAGTTATTTTATTTGTATGTACACTGTTACACGTGTTATAACCCTGAATAAGATTGAATAGAAACACATTCTTCTCTTTCAAATCAACATGTAATGAATATTAATAAGTAGATAAAGAGGAGATTAGTTACCAAATGGCGAATAGCTGGATAGCACAATTATATGGGCAGACGCACGCCTCACAGCATACCAGAGGGGGCTGCTGCTATGGGAGGCCAAGAATGGAGTAGTAAATCGGTGAAGATAGTTTTTGAAAGGAACAACTTCTCCCTGGCCAAGCATATTTGAATAAAAACATTGGAGCCAAGTTAACATTAAATGCAAACAAAGTGTATGAAGTTTCCGACATAAGCAACGGGAGAAGATTGGCATCATAAAGTGAATATGTTACAACAAATCTCATGAATATTTCCTTCAGCATCTGTTGTCGTGCCAACCATTCACCAACACAATAAGAAATGACTTTATGCACAAAAACAAGTAGTTATTTGCCACTTGAAATTTGGGATATCTTGGTACACAAAATAATCAAAGCTCTAAAGGAATTGAATGGAGTTTTCTCTAAAACTGTAGAAATAATAAGATGGCATATAAAAAGTTTGATGGAGCTGAAAGTCAGCTAAGTCCTATTTTGCAGATGGCCATGCATAATTCAAGAAAAGGAACAAACCAGCCCAGACATAGTAGTTGAGAAGAATAAAAGGTTCACATTTTTCTTATACTTTCCAAATCCAAAAAAGAGAAAGGGAAAGCTGAAACCATGATGGTGGTTTATTATTTTATTGGTCCCGAAATCATTAGCTCATTTCATTCTATAAATAATTTAGTACGAGATGAACAACCAAGACACATACTAGACTGAGGTTACTACATTACCATGTAAGGCATGTAATCTATTTCGTGATTTCCAGCAGACCATATCCATGGATAATATGCTGTACTCCTTTCAATAAATCGGCCCCATGTATCCCACCGTAAACCAACATCATTGTACTGGTACCTATCAGCGTAAGAAAGATCTCCAACATATAAGACAGTCTCCGCTCCACTCTGTACATAATGCTCAAGAGTGGAAAGAGAATTAAACGTTTGGCCCAAATCACCTGCAATGTTTATGCAATGATTCATTTATGAGAGCCACAAATTAAAACTTACGGGAAATAATACCAAAAGAACATCCTGATAGACATTTTTTGTGAAATAAAAATAGAAAGAGACTACATTTAAGGATGAAGAAAACTATTTTCTAGTAGAACGAACGTGGGAAAGCAGACAACTTACCAATTATCCCAAATTTGTAGGCAGCATCTGGATCAACTTTGGGAGGTGTTTCAAACCAAAATTGTCGAGAAGAATCACCACTTCCGATTCTATAGTAGTATTTAGTCTTATACTGAAATGGGAATATCATTGATTGTTATTAAATGAACACACTTTCCACAATGCAAGATGAGAATTAACAAGCACATGATTAATTGAAAAATGAATGTGTATTATGAGTTAAACTTCACTTTTCAATTGATTTTACTATTGACAATGGAAATATAGTGCCAGTGATGATTGATAATTCTACTCTCGTAATTTGATCAACAATTACCTCAAGGCCTTCAATAAGACAATGATGAATGTAGCCAGACTTGTATTCATAAAAGGTATAGTTTGCAACTGTGCCTTCTGCACTAGTTTGAAATTTATTCTCGGATGTGCCGTATTGTACATGGCTGGGCCCTGGTTCATCTGGGGTCACCCATGAGATGATGACTGCTTTTCCATCGTAGTCACCTTGCGTGATGTGCACCTACAATGGAATTAGTCATTACAAAAGAGTTTATTTGAATAAAAGAAGAAGCGTAAGAATGTGAAACTGCTTCACATGTCCAATTTGGTTGCCAAGGAGTAGGATCCTCATCAAAGCTTCAAAAAAAACTTTTAGCGAATGGATGGTAAAATCAACCTTGTTATTCTTGTATGACTTACTTGTTGGGGTGCATTATAACCCTTCGGTACTGCAAATGCTTCATGATCAAGGGGGATGTCAACTGCTGGCCACTCTGACCGAATGAAAGAGCTAGTGATCCCCGCATTCCCGTCTCTAATTAAAATCAAGAAGACAAAGGAAGCAAGAACAAAATTTAGCAACATGGCCTGCACTCTTCTTTCCATCGGCATGAGTGTTGTCTTTCTCAGCCTACAGAGTTCTAACCATCTGCATTCAAGAATCCAAATGATTGTCACTCATACGTTACACATAGTATGCCACATATATTTTGAAGCAATCTGCAGTGAAATGACTTTTTTCAAGGTAAATCTCAATTATTCTGTTCCAATTCTCTCCCAAACTGATTTATTAAATTATCTATTTTTTTCTCTTTTTTTTTAATTATTAAAAAGGGTTCTTACATTCCGATTAGCTTTAATCTCAACTTGAATCCACCGAATATCAGATCTAAAAGGACAATCAATTTAAGCATAAGCTAACGACTTGCATTAAAATGCCAATCCAATAAGAAAATAGGCGAAGTTGCACTTGCACAAGCCTTTCCTAATCCCCATTTGAATTTTGAACAGCGTTAGGTTCGTTCAGATGAACCACACACAGTCTCCACCATGCATCATTTGCTAAAAAAGGAACCGAGTGATGTATGACATTATGGTTAAGTTAGTTCAATGGCTCGGGATCCGAGATTCAAATCTTCAACAGAAAACTGAACTAGGCGACAACAATGACATTGACCTATTTATGATCAGCGCACAAGAAGTATGATAAACGAACGAATAATGATTAATTAAAAGGAAGCATGTTGTTGTATTTTGTAGCGCTGATTGGAGCATAGTGATGAACGAGGGAGAGAGAGAGAGAGGTTTACCTCGAAATGAAGTATCTGCAGAGAAGACAGCGAAGGGAAGCCAACCAGGAGGAAGGAGTGGGAAGAAGATAGAGGGATAAGAGATTGATTGAGTTTAAAGGGAAGGTATGGAGAGGGTTGGTCCACGTTCCAAAATCTGCCACGCTCTTGCTTTGTTGCCCCTCAATCCTTTTTTTTTTTTTTTTATTTCTTATTATATTATCACTATATCGAAAATTATTATTACTATTTTACTTACAAAAAATTGTTATAAAAATTAAAAAAACTGACTGCACTCAAATAAAATTACTATTCAGCAGACGGAAGTGTGTATTCCTTGTCCCAAATTATGCACAATTTTAGCATCATTAACTAGTAAAAAAATAACTGATATTTTCATTTTCGAAGAAACTATTATTTTTGTTCCTAATTTAAATTCACATAAATGGTATAAAAAAGACATATATTTATAATTATTTTTAATATTTGTAAAAAATAATTTGGAACAGGATAATACGCTACCGTACAAAAACAAATAGAACTGTCTTCGCGCAGAAAACAGTTAAGTGTATTAAATTTTTATTCTTCCAGTATAACTAAAAGTATATTTTTACGGTGGTTCTTAATTAAAGCTTTAATATTTCAGAGAAGAAATCATTAAATGGAATCATTTGTATTCTTAAAATACATGAGAAAAAAGTGATTGAGTGGGATTTTAGTACATGAGTATTTGTATTCTTAAAATAAACTAAGAGAGATAAATTTTATGTTATTAATTTCAAGTATTTATTAAATTTTTTAGTTAAAACATGTCAATTAATTAAAATAAATTTTAAAAATAATAATTTATCATTCAATTACGAAAGGATCTTATAAATAAAGATAAATAGATTTTTTTAAAATATAGAAATGGTGGGAATAATTGATATAATTGTTAAAATAAGTAGTTAAATCTTATATTTGGTCCTACGGATAAAGTAGAAATAGTTTGATGGATCAACTTGACATATATTTTAAAATTGGCTAAATTTTTAGCCTAGTCTAACCTTACAGCTAATTTTGGCCTAACTAAATAGTTATGTTACTTCTAGTCGAGGTTTTTGGTTTTGATTGGGTTTGTGTTTAATTTTTTGTTAGGTTCATTGTTTTTTGAATCAAAGTGTTTGGTTCTGTTTTTATCTTGTTTGGTTTTGTTTGATTGTGGATTAAGGTCATTGGTTAGTTTCGGAATGTTGCCCTTATGTTTTGATATGTTGTGAAATTCTAGTAGGGTTGCTTAGTTCAAATGTAGTTGTTGAGTCTAGTAGAGGTTTTTGTTATGAATGTTAATTGTGTTTTAGACTTTATTGTTTATATTGAATTGCGATGATTGTATTATTTAAGCCAAACTAGAGTATTGGATTGAGTTGTGCTATCAGTGTGTTGTTTAAATTGTGTGGTTGCTTAATCAGGTTGTAGTATGTTATATAGACTGTTATCATCCATATGATATGCGCTTAAACATTGACAATCGCAGTTGTCGATCTTTCATTTCCAATTTAGCGATTGTCGACTCTTAGATGCGTTTATGATGTTGTCGACCCCACAATATTCAATTTAATTACTTCTAGCCTTATTTAGGTTATCTAGATATCTTGTTCATTACAAGAGCACTTATGGTTATGGTCGACCTCATTGCTAAACCTTAATACTCATTTTTTGCCCTTTCTTTTAATATAAGTGCATAGTTTACACTAACTTTGTGTATTAAAGAGTCACTTAGATGTATGCACGACCATCTTATGTCTAGTGCTTTCAAATGTTTTCAGACACAGGTGTGGTTGTACCCATCACCATGTGTCTTGATTTTTCAAGACACGAGTATGGTCGTCTGCATCATTATGTGTTTATTTTTCAAAGCACAAATATGACCGTTTGCATCATTATGTGCTTTATTCTTTTTACAATAAATTTTTAAACACAGGTGTGGCTGCATGTGTCACTATATATGTCTTATTTTTTTTGAAGCACAAGTATGACAACATGTGTCTCATCAAAATAAATTGTTCGGGTGTAAGCATGATCATCTGCATCGTCTTATGCTCGTTCAATATTTGTTTCACAAGTGTATTTAGTACGATCATCAACATCATCTTATACTTTGTAACCCTTTTTTGAGAAAAAAAATACAAAACCTCTTTAAAAAACATCATAAATTTTCAAAACCCTAACCATATCATATCAGACCAAACCGAACCAAACCAAACCAACTGGACTGGATCGAACCATACCAAACCGAACTGAACTAGACTGGACCAAATCAAACCAGATCGGACTGAACCAATCAAATCAAACCGGACTAGATTGAACCAAACCAAACCAACTGGACTGGATTGAATCGTACGAACCCGAACCAGACCAGATCGGACCAAACCGAACCAGACTAGACCAGACCAAACCAAATCAGATTTATCTAAACCAGGCCGAATCGAACCAAACCAAACCAAACTAGATCAAACTGAACCAGACCAAATCAAACTGAATCGGACTAGACCGAATCAAACCCAACTGGACCAAATCAAACCAAACTGGACCAAATCAGACCAAACCAAATCGAACCGGACAGAAAGATTAAACTGAATCAAATCGAACTAGACCAAACCAAATCGACCGGTTCGGTGCAGTTCAATTTGATTCGACTAAACAAAATTAAACTGGATGGAACCGAACTGAACCAAATCGGGACTAAACCGAACTAGATCGAATTAAACGAAACGAACCAAACCAAATTGATCTAGACTGGATCAAACCAAATCGAACCAAACCAAACCAAACTAAACCAAATCGAACTGAACCAGATCAAACTAAACCAGACCTGTTAGGTATTTTCGAGGGGGACTAACAATAGGAAAATTCTCACAATTGAGACATGAGTCAATTATATAAGAGAATATGTCATCATTCTTAACCCAAAACCTTAAGACATTAGGTTATGAGTCTTTTTCATTTATAAATTACTCAACTTTCGCAAATTAAATCAAATAAAATTGAATTGAACCAAAATGGATTGGATCAAACTGGACCAAATTAAACCAGATCGAATTAGACCAGACCAAACCAAATGAGTCGGACCAAACCGAGCCAAATCAAACCAGAACAAATCGAATCAGACCGAGTTTAATCAAATTGAATTGAATCGAACCGAATTGAATCAAACAAAACTAAATTAAACAAAACGAGAGTGAATCAAACAATACTGTAAAAAACAAAATTGTATTATATTATTTATCTTAATCCTTTGTCTTTTATCATTAATCATATGTAAAAGAGATTCTTGATATATTTTTTTATATATTTTAAAAATAAATGTGTTATGGTTTTAAAATTTTTATTATGATTTATATATTTTAAAAATAATAAAAATATGAAAAATAGAAAAACAAATCAGTATATTTAGAAAATAGAAAGAAAAAATATAATAAAATTTAAACTAATATTTTTTAAAATAATTATATAAAAAACATAGACACAAGCGTTACTATACCTTTATTTTTACTAGTTAAAATAATATACATTATAAATGTGTCTTCATGATGATATTTTATCAAAATAAAAATAAAAACATTTTTCATAAACATTTGAACAATTTTTTTTCACATATACAATGAAAATATATTTCCATAGTAATATATCAGTCGAATTTTCTATGACACAAAATAGAAATGTATTATCATCTAGAGTTTTTTTTTTTAAATGAAGCAAAAATAGGAATAAATGTGTTAGAGGATTTTCTAAACCATAAATAGAAAAGGCCCACAACGGTAATGAGCCTGCTAATTCCAGGTAGGGTAATTGCTTTTCACTTCTTTAATTACTTCCTACACCTTTCTATTATAATAGAATGATAAAAATAATATTTCAATTTTTCAACACTTTTCAAAAAACGTTATCCATAATATATTAAAACGTTTTTGAAATACATGTTTAAGATAAATTTAGTTTTGCGGAAGTTGAGTAATTATACGATATCTCGAAGTAAATAATATAAAATAATTTCACAATATACATTTTAGAGAAGGCTCATGGAGTATTTCAGAAGGTTTTCAACATATTTTGAATAACATTTCCTAAAAGGGGTAAGGATTTTGAAAAAGTATGATCATCATGCATGTATAATGAGAAGGTGCAGAAAAGAATTACTGGGTGCAAAAAGCAATTTGCATCAAATTGATATATACGGGCTTTGTCTTAGCAATCATATGTGAGCATGGGATTGGATCAAACACGATTCTTTTGAACATAATTCATGAATGCATAAAATTAATTAATTAAGTTCTAAAAAAATCATAAAAGGTTTAAAAACAATAGCAATCAATTAATCCAGCTAGCCCAACGAAATATCAAATTATTATGGATACTTTGAACAACTTTCTGAATAATAATAATAATAATAATAATAATAAACTCATAATGATGTCCTAAATCATTATTATAACATTTTTGGAAAATTTGATAATTTAATCTATAAAATTAGATAAATCTAATTAAGCTTAATCCCTAAATTTTTATTTCAAACGATATTATATTTTAAATCTGTGTATATAAATTAAGTAGTCTGCACACAATAAAATAAAATAAAATAGATACGACAACTACGAACTTAGTCAATTCAGACCAATGCGTGTTTGTTTCTGTTATTCGTAGGCAAATTATGTGCATTCAGACATTGTAATGTAACTTTCAGACGCGCTTATTTGATGGAATACCAAACACCTATAACTCGATTTCATCTTATTATTGCTTTTAACTCTTCCCATTCTTTAAAATTTTTTGTTTTATTATATTTAAACCTCTTTTTTTATCTTCAATTTTTTTCTTTTATTCAAAATTAATACTCAATTTACGAATCTTTTCTCGATGTACAATATTTATTAGAATTTTGTTTAGCTGAATTAAGTCACTCAATTTTTTTCTTAAACTAATTTGATTAAAGTTTTCTTCTTACTCTAAAGCGGGTAAAATTAAATTATGGAGATTTAATTTTGAGTTGTCTTTTTGCCTCGAGACAATCTTCTTAAAATAATAATAATAATAATAATAATAATAATAATAGATTTATCATTAAAAAACAAGATATGATTAGAGAATGAATGATAAGAAGAGATTTACTTTTTAATCAAATATCCTTATATATAATAAAAAAAATTAATATTATAAAATGATAACATATTAGTTATAAATAACAAAAAATTAGAGATAATGTATAAATATATAAATATATAGTTTATTTGTAGTATTTAGTGAATATTGAGATAATAGATACACAAGTCTTTCAAGTTTAAAGGTATAATTATTTAAGAATAGAAACATCACGAGTTTATGGTTCATTACGTAAACTAGTTATATTTAGTTGGAACAAGTTTATTCTAAAAATTATTATTCGACTAAGTCGATAATCTCTTTAGTTGCTGAGATTTACTTAATAAGGTTTGATTATAATATATTACTATCAGATAATTGTACCTATTTGTATTGAATTTATTGATATATGTATTTTAAAAATATTAAAATGCTAGTATATAAAGAAATGTTATATTTAAAATATATCCCATGTATGGATCAAGGATAACCTTGATTTGGTTAAATTAATGATACTTTGCTCCTTTTATTTTTTGCTATCTTAGGAAGATTTTGGTTTTGACCAAGGCAAAAAAAAAGAAAAAGAGAAGGTTATTTTGATTAAAGATAAATAAAATGAAACATCCGTGTGTGTTATAAAAGTCTAGATTGACCTTATGTCATCGAAAGACAAGTGTAGGAAGTTGAAGGTATGATTATTTTGTTGGAGGAAGAGTTTTAAACAAAGAAAAGATCAAAATTTCAATTTAAAGAGTGAACTTTTAGATAGTTATATAAGAAATTTTTGAAAAGGTTATGTGTCACAACACAACAGAAGATTCAACATAAAAAATTATCCTCGAGACAAAGAGCTAGTGGATGATTAGTCCGTATGTGAGATGTTTTATAATTTTGTTGAATGTTCATGATGTTTTGTTGATAATTTTTTCTCTCTCTAGACCATGTGATCTCCACTAAATATTTTCATGAAGTATTTAACTAAATATTTGTACTTGATTTATATTTGTCATATGCATGTAGTATGATTATGAAGATACAAATTGTTTTATTTATAGGTTGTGCAAATGTCAAACTTGTGACTCTGAATAGAGTTTTTAAGATACAAGTTTTGATAATTCAGTATACTCGAGTAAAATATGTATAACTCACATGACTCCGAGTAAAATAGATGCAAATTTTGATATATAAAGTATATAACTTGTATAACTTATGTAACCCGAGTAAGGTATATAACTTGTATAATTCGTAGAATCCTAAGTAAGATATATAAATTGTATAACTCATATAATAACAAATAAGTATATATATATATATATATATATATATATATATATATATATATATATATATACTTTGAATAACTCGGATAATCTCAAGTAAGGTATAATGTAGGTAAGTTTTACAACTCTAAGTTGTTGTAAATTAAGTGTCTAAGAGAATAAGATCAAATGAGCTCCTCAATTATCTTTGACTTGTTGACACTAGTCGGTAGTATGCTTGTAATTATAATAAAAATAACATTACTTAGTGGTATCAACATGAGTCGAAGATATAAGATGCGTTCTCTATTAGTATTTAAAAGAGTGATTGTTCAAACTTAACTACCCTAGTGTTGAATTATTGGCAAGTGTACCAAAATTATCAATTGCAATATAGTATTTCGATTAAATAAAAGTTGATGCCACGAGGAATGGTTTCAATGAAACTTCCCAATTATATGCTTACTAAGTGGATTAAAACAAATTGAGTTTTGCATAAAGAGTTGAATTAAAATTAAATGACAAAGAACTGTAAATTTTTGAGAAAAGATCAATTAAAGGCATTTAGAATTGACTTCTTTCCTTATCCCTCTTTTGTAATGACTATGTTAATTAAGAACGTCAATTAACCTAACAATGTTGATGTCACCTACTCAAATCATCCATGTTGATTCCTCACACATGAAATTTATAAGAAAACCTAATAAATGTTGATTCCTCACACAATTAAGAGATTTTCTAGCATTAGGTTTAAGGTGTTAAGCAATTGATACATTCATTCCATTTCTGGCAATTAACGTAACAAATATTCTTACCGTGATCCAGGATTCAAGATATATTTTCCAATCATATCCCAAACATCAAGAATAAATCATTCCAAAGCACAAAGGATAAGAATAACAACATCAAAACATAGATTAATATCTCAAAATATCACCATGATACAAAAGAGTTCAAAGGAAGTGTACCAAATCCCAAGAGAATGGAGTTAGACACTCATGTTGGTCATTACAATGCTCCAAATGAGGAAGAAGTAAAGAATTGATAAAGATTGGACAAAACTCTAGCAGTAGTCGCGCCTCTTCTTCCAAAAACTGCTTCCCTTCTCAAAACTCGTCTTACTTTTTATAGGAGAAATTGGGTTTTTGAGTTTCATGTCTTTCGCTCAAGCGAAAGTTCCCTATTTTCGCTCAAGCAACAAATCGCTCACTTGAGCAAGTGAACTCCAAAAACGAATAACTAATATTCGCTCAAGCGAATTTACTGACGCTTGAGCGACTGACTTCGAGAGAAGAATAACTGGTATTCGCTCAAACGAGAGTGTATCTCACTCGAGCGACTTCCATGCTAAAAATCTTTTTTCTCCTTTCAGTTTTGCTCAAATTATGTTGACAATCATGCTCCTTACTCTTATATCAAGATATTATAAAATTAATCATATATTGGGAGAAAAATAGGTTAGAATTAACACAAGTTAAGTGATTTTATAACAATTCAAAGTATAATTATATCAACTTTTTACCACTTAACACCTAGGTGTTTTAGAGACTTGGTTAAAAATAATCAACATGTGATAACTTTTTTATCTTTAAACATGACATTGTTATCCTTCATGCGAATATAATTAACTACTTCTGTTGGATCTCATTGCTCTATTGTTGGATCTCTTGATAATTGTATGAGTTTATCATCGTTTTGTTGTTGCATGTTAATAATCTCTTCATGATTCTTTTATTCATCCATATATTTTTTGAGACTGTTGATAATGATAATGAGATCCATTCTGTCATTTGATTTTAAGATAATTTATCATAAATTAAAACCATAAAACGAATGAGGTTACATGAATTGTTTTACTACCGTGGATGTCTAATGTTCTTATCGTGAAAATTGGCTAAAACATTTGAGATTGGATGGTGAAGATTGACTTATGAGTTGTGTATTTGAGTTGGAAAAAAACAATCTTAGAAAAAACAAATATTCATGTTAAAAAACACTTTTACACTCAAGTCTATTTTTTAAAACAAAAAAAAAATTGTAATTAGATAATAAATAACAGGATGAGATTTATTAAAAATAAGAACTTATATTATAAAATAGTAACATAAATAAAATAATTAAAAATAATATATAATTTTTTAAAAATTATTGAGACTTAATATATTCCTAAAATTATATAACCATACTTTAATCCATGTTACACTCGTACATTATAAAAATATTTATGTAAAAGAAAAAAGAAACTTGTATTAATTTTTTATCATGTGAAAACTCATCAAATTAATAAGAGACCTAATAAGACTAGCTTTTAACCAATAAATTATAAAAAGTGCATTTTTTTATTGAATTATATCTATATTAAAATTGTGTAATACATTTGAAAATTATATTGAATTGTATTATATATTGAAAGTTTATTAATTGTTTTTAATATTTTAATTACACATAATAAATAAATACCCATGTTTGAACTCGATAAAAAAAGTAACTAATGTTATAATAAATAATAAAAATATATTTAATTCATATCTTTATATTAATAAGAAATTCCTAAAAAGATAATATTAAATTGAACTTATTACATAGACTTTCAAAAGTTGTAAGTAATAAATTAAATTCATTTTAGTCTTTATATCTTTAAAAATGAGTAATAGGTCAAACATTTATATTACTAATTAAATAACATATTAACCACGAATCACAATTATTTAATTTTAAAAACTTAGAAGATTAAATATACAATTAATTTTTTATACAATAAAATCACATATTCACAAATTATAAAATCACTTAATTATAAAAGATCAAAAGTGAATTTAAGTAATGAGTTGATGTCTTCATGTTAATATATTATTTCAACCAAGTTAAATTAGGAAGGATAAAAGAAAAAACTTAATTAGAATAATATAAAAATAGATGAATAAATCAATATTTAATATTACTATCCGAAATATTTTGATTTTTTACCCTGCACAACAACAGATATATAAAATGACAGAAGGAACATTAGAATTCAAAGGGCTAAACCAGATTTTTCTTAATTGTTTTTATGGGTATTATAATTATACTTCCATATATGAATTTTAGATGAAGGTACAAATTTTAGGATAACATAAGATAATATTGGTATTATAATTATACTTCCATATTATATATTTTTTTATAATTATTAGATTTTGATATATATATTTTTATAATTATTAAATTCATTACACAGTTGCGATTGTGTTTTATCTTATTTTTATAGAAAAATCCAAATGATACGATTATAAGTGTGGTTGCTGCGATTCAAAATATTTAAATTTTTTAATATACTTAAGATATTGTCATATTAATTTTTTCAATATTGGTTGAATGAAAAAAAAAAAAAACTATGAGAATGTGTTTGTTTTCTTTTGTATATAGTTAAAAAATTGTATGAACATTAAATAAATAAATAAAGTAAGTGTGTGAGTGAGGTGAGGGTATTCCACAGGGAGGGAAACGTGATTCGTCAGAGTAGTTGAGAAGTAGGAAACGAACACTCCGACAAAAACCCACGCGCATTACACCAAACTTTCATCTTCACCATGTGTCCAGAATACAACACAATAAATAATAAACATCCATTATCTATGCATAAGCATAATTTTATATATTTCATGCTAGTTTTAAAAGATTACGTGGTAACAAAACCTACTAAATTCATAATATTTTCATAGAATCTAAGAACATTAGCGCTGGTAATAATTTATATGCCTTTAAACATTTCCTTTAGTATTTTTTTTTTTTTAATTGAAGTTATTTATGTATAAATTAGTTTATTAAAGTTATCATATGGAATTTTCTAGGTTTTTAGTTTGTATATAAATAATTTAGTGAAGTTTATTTTCTGCATTTCCCCTTCCTCTCGTCGTCTGCTCTGTTGAGAAGCAACAAAAAGAGGCCAGAAAAGTATAAAAGGAGTGGGTGGAGGAGAAGGGCTTTTGGATTGTCTGGTGAGAGATTGGAAAGAGAGATCGATGGAAGAGAGTGAGAAAACGCCGCAAATCGTGCAAGTTCTGGAAGCTTTGAAACAAGCGACACACGACATCCAACGACACCACACCTCGGATTCTCCGGCAGTGAAGGCGCTTCTGGAGCTGCAACCCATTCTCTCCTCGTCGGACCCCAACCTCTGCGCGCTTTCCGAGCACCTTAATCACCTCAAAACCCTCATCCACTCTCTCAACAATTCCAAGGGCCTCCGATCCTTCCTCACGCGCCCCCTCTCCACGCACTCACTCTCCCGCCTCGCCGCCTCTATCGAGTACGAAATCCAAGGATGGATTGACCGCGAAACGCTCCTCGCCCTCTCTACTTCGCTACGAAACCCTAACGAGAATATTAACGAGTTGGTCGCGATGTTGACTCAGTTCCGGGACCGAGTCTCCCAGGGGTTTAACCGCGAGTTGCAGGATTTGGTTCTCAAGCTCAAGCTCTTCTCCTCGTTGGAAACGATTCTCCTCGATGAAAAGTGTGCTGACCGGGTTCGCGAGCAGGCAGGTTTGGCCGTTGCGGCGCTGATCGGGTTCAACAAAGACGTGTTCGTGGGCCAAGTTCTGATGGGCCCAACAGTGCGGGCTTTGGTGTCGATGGGCTCTGTGCTCTCGCTGGAGGTGCTCTGCTCGCTGATCAGGTCCATTAGGTCCCCTCTGGTGGACGAGATCGAATCGAACGGCGAGATTCCGAGGGTGATGGCGCTGTTGAATTCGGCGGATCTGCAGCTGCAGGTGCTGGCGTTGAAGTGCGTGATGGAGATTGGGTACTTCGGGCGCAAGGAAGCGGTGGAGGCTATGGTGAAGGAGGGTTTGTTGGAGAAGCTGGTAGAGTTGCAGAGGTCGGAGAACGGTGGTGATTTGATTGAGATTGGGAAGGAAAGGGTTAGTGCGGTTTTGGAAAGACACCCTTTTGCAAGCTGCGTGGCGAGGTTTGCGGTGCAGTTGGAGGTTGGGGAAGGGTTGCGGCAGAGAGAGAAGAGGGCTTTCAAACCGGAGATTCTAGTGCGAGTTAGAAAGGCCTCTGTTTCTGATGCCGAAGCTGCCACCATTGCTGCCGAGGTTTTGTGGGGTTCTTCGCCATAGACTGTTTTGATTTAAACTGCATGTATTTTGTGCAAAGACAATGGATAGTGAAATAGTGAGGTAGTGAAGTTCTTCTTCCAAGTACCTAAAGCTGTTGTATATTCAGAAATTAGGACCATTTCATATTCGTTGTTCAGTTATGGCGGAGTTGAGTTTGTTTGTTGTGTATGTAAATGTATAGATTGGGTTTTGGGAACGGGGAATTGGATTCATAAAACGTGTAATTATTGATTCTTTCTTCACTCACGTTAGGGGAACGAATAATGCATCGATTCATTTAGGCTTAAAATCAATTCTCAAGCATTATGTTATGCAAATGCATGGTTTCAATTCTCAAGAGAAAAGTTATTTGGAATTGGACTGGTGTGGAAAAGTCAGCGGGGTTGTGTTGGTGGCTGAGGAATCAGGATTGTGAAGGGAATCGTTCATGGCATATGCTATACTTGTGGTGGAATCGAAATAAATATAATAAACAATAAAAAAATACACAGCTTCCTTCTGTTAAATAATCTGAATAAATAATCAGGATTTTGAATCTTAAATCTCTTCTATTTCTAATCTTAAGAGTACTTTATAACGTATATATCAAGTATTTTTCATAAGCATTGTGAAAGTTAAATATAATGTATAAATGAAGTATTCCACTACGACTTTCCATTCATCTTATTACATATTGCATATATTAATAAAAGGAAGGATTTGTGAAATTATTTAACACCATAATTCATGGCATCTTATTTTGTTTTCAATTCTTTACATAAAAGAACCCCCAAACATCAAATTGTTTCCAAGTTAACAAGGACATTTCTCCTTTGTCCTCTATATACGGAGTATATCTCCAAAACAAGTTAAAATTAATCAGAAATCAGGTGATTCAAATTTCATTTAACTAATATAAAAATGTTTACTCATCTTTTATTACATATTTATTATCTTATTGTTTCTTGTGGAAATTTGATCGATTTTGATTAAATCAGAGACTTGAATTCTAACCAAATTTCAACCACGTAGATTCTTTTTACTTAGATTAGCAAACGGTTTTCAATCGAAATATACATGAGAATCGAAAATTCTATAGTATCGAAAAACGCTAACAACACAACCTAGTGAGCAGATTGACAATCGAAAGTATTATTTTTGGTATTTTTTATTAAGAAACGCGAAGTAAAGAAAGCAACAAAGGGTATCGAAATGAAGAGCAGTGCAAAATATTAAATTGCAGAGAAAGATAAATGACAATGAATTGAAATTTCAAAAATGTAAGTGGCGAAGAACTTAAACGCAGAATTTTAACTTGCATAAAGGTAAAATGACAAGGAATTGAAAGTGCATAAACTTAAAGTTGATAAACGTAAATTGCATGAAAGTAAATTGCATGAACATAAATTACCAGGGAAAATAAAGAAAACGATAAAGATAATCAACGATAATGGAAATCCAGAGCATTAGAAACTTCATGATGCGTCGTTCTCCTGTAGACTTTTCACTAACGTTTCTGTTCTCTCTGCCAATTTCCCCTCTTTCTTCCAACCTCACTCTATTTATAGAGTTTTCTTAAGGTAACCTCCTAGGGGCAATTAAAAAGTCGTTACCATGTTCTTCAATGCACGTCCCTTGATCTTTCGTCTTCGCCTACAGTTTAGAAAAATCGCTTCCACGTTCCAAATGCGCTTTAACTTCAAAAGCCACGTATGATAACCGTTCCCCTCTATCTCGATTTCAGCCTTTCAATTCTCGATTTTCTTCAGCAATAATCATCGAATCCTCTTCTTTCGATTCTCGATTCCAACTCTCAATTTTCTTTAGCAATAGTCACCGAATCTTCTTCTTTCGATTCTCGATTCTTTCTCGATATTTGTTTAATACAGGTCATCACATTTCTTTTCTCGATTCTCGATTTAGATTCTCGATTTTCCTATTCATTGAATTCCTTCTTTCGATTGTCGATTCTGATTTTTGATTTTTTTCCCACTAATAAAATGCCCCCTAAAAGAATAAAATATTTGTGCAAAATGTTGTATTCTTTCAAGAAGTGTCTAACTTAACTTTTTTCATGAAGTTATTCCAATTTTTGATACAATCTAATCGAAAATCGACTCCTTGTGCACGAAAAATCGAAAAACCAATATAAGTAAATACTCCCCCTATCTCGATTCGAAAAAACTTTTATCGAGAATGCTACCACCCTCTTAAACTTAATTTCTCTAAAACCCAAAGACAAAGAAATTTCGATATCGGGACTATCATTCTACCCTTACTAAGACACTCCTGGACATTTCTGGTCGAACAAACTAATATCTCCCTCAATCCAAAAGAAAAACCATTTATCGAACAAACTTCGATTTTATTGTCTCGACAAAATTGCATGTTCCTAAAATATCGAACTGTTATAGAGGAAGATCCGTTCTCGATATTCTACTGCCTGAAGATGATGTCACTCCCTCAAATCATTTCATCAATTCTTGATATCCTAAACATTACTGTTATCGATTCATTCCTCGATGACAATATCCTAAATAGCTTCGACGTTGAAACAACATTATACTTTAATCAATTGTGAATGCTTATTTCCCTTATTCGAGGTTTATAATCTTTTAAGTATTTCCCATTTATCGAAAGCACTTTTCCTTTACTATGTCAATCGACAATCGAATAAGCATTTCCCGATAATACTTTAACAACTTCAAAAGGTCATTCCCAATTCAGTGACCAATTGCCATACCTTTTAGGCTTCTTATCCATCGGCAAAATCGTTTTCCAAACTAAGTCACCTTCGTTAAATATTTTCTGTCGAACTCTCTTGTTATAACCTCGAGCAATCTGACTTTTCTGTAAAATAATATTATTCAACGCTTGCAATCTTATTTCATCGAGTTCATTTAACTCATCATACATCAAGTTCTAGTAATCACAGCTGGGTAATTCATTTTGTTTTTGTATTCGAGTTGACTAAATATTTATTTCGATGGGTAAAACCGCATCATGCCCATAGACTAACTTGTATGGGGTATTCTGTATGGAATCTTTCGGTGAATTTCGATAAGCCCACAAAATCTGTAATAACGTTTCATGCCAAGTCTTTGGTTTGTTACCGATATGTTTCTTGATTAAACCAATAATTACCTTATTAATGGCCTCAACCTGTCCATTAGCCTGAGCATAATATGGAGTTGATGCTAATAACTGAATATTTCTCGATTCAGCATATCTAACCATTTTCTTGCCAGTAAAAAATGTCCCTCTATCAGTAGTAATAGACTGTGGTATCCCAAATCGATAAACGATATATTCCTCAATGAAATCGATCACATCTTGTTGATCGACATCTTTTAACGGGACTGCTTCTACCCATTTCGAGAAGTAATCAACGACTACAATTATGTATCTATGTCCTTTCGATGACTGTGAAAAAATTTGACCAATTAAATCGATTGTCCAACCTCTGAAAGGCCATGGTTTGATAATCGAATGCAATTCGCTAGCAGGGACTTGTTGTATGGGACTAAATTTCTGAAATTGCTCACATGACTTAGCATATTCGATACAATCTTTTAAAATCGAAGGCCAGTAATATCCTTGTCGAGTTAACGTCCATCTCATTTTCTGACCTACCATATGTGCACCACATATTCCATTATGTACCTCTGCCATTGCCAAATAAGCATTGTCATCCTCTAAACATCTGAGCAAAACTCCATCGATACCTTTTTTGTATAATTCATCATTAAGTAACACATATTTTATTGCTCGATACTTTATTTTCTTATCGATTCTCCCATTTGGATTTTGCAAATAGTCCATAATTGATTTTCTCCAATCCTGATCATCCAAGTTGTTAATTTGTAAAACTTCCTTCTCTTGGGGTAATTTCTCTTTGATTTGAATCATGTTTTGCAAATTTTCCAGAGAAATTTTATACCTAGATGCCATTTGCGCTAAGTCATTAGCTTCTCGAGGAACATATTCGAATGTTATATCATCAAACATTTTACTCAAAGTGATTACTTTTTCCAAGTATCTGAACAAATTGGTATTGATACATTTGTATTCTTTTCGAACCTGTTTGATCACTAATTGTGAATCCCCTCTTACAATTACATGTCGAGCTTTTAATTTAATCAAAGTCTCGAGACCCAAAACCAAAGCTTCATATTCAGCTTCATTATTCGAGCAATTGGGTTTGATTTCAAATAATAACTTAGTCGGGATATTGTTTGTTGAAATAATAAGAATTCTCATCCCCGACTTATCCGATGTACTCGATCCATCAAAATACATTATCCACTTACTTGTTTCAACAAAGAAATTATCAATCGAGTCAACTGTATGATCTACCATAAAATCAACGATAACTTGGCCTTTTATCGATTTCAAAAGATCGAATGATAATGAAAACTCTGTCAAGGCTAAAACCTATTTTCCTATTTGATTGTGCATAGTAGGTTTCGACAAAAGAAACTTCAAAATATTATTTCTGGAATAAACCATCACATCATGAGGTTTCATTACATATTTGAGTTTCATACATGAGAAATACAAACACAACCCTAACTTTTCGATATCATTATATCGAGTTTCAACATCATTTAATATTCTACTTAGATAATAAACAACACATTCTACACCATTCTGATCCTCTTGTACTAGTAGACTTGCTATAGTCCGATCAGATGCCGATACATATAATTTTAATGGCTTGTTCCTCATTATTGGTATCAAGATCGGAGAATTCGTCAAAGTCAATTTAATTTGCTCAAAGGCTTTCTGATGTTCCTCCTCCCATTTAAAATCTGCTTCCTTTTTCAACATCAACAAAGATGAAAAATATAAGTCTTACCAGCCAAGTTAGAAATAAATCGTCTTAAATAATTTATTTTTTCCAATAATGATTGCAATTGCTTTTTATTCTTTGGAGCAGAGGTATCTAATATTGCTTTTGCTTTATTTTTATCGATCTCGATCCCTTTTTCTTGTACTATAAATCCTAAAAATTCACCAGC